ATCCCTGGAAACCTGTATGTATAATAGCGGTCCTCATGCCTCCCTATCTCCTTTACTGTGGGACACATGTCGAGGGGAGGGGTGCAGAGTGTGCCCTGGGCACAGACCAACAATAAAACTGCCCTGTGCTCGCTCTCTATAATCTCAGCAAAAATGAACCCAGACCCTTCATGTGGCAAAATACCTGACTATTTGATGTTCTTGTCCTTTCCATTACTGCAACAATAGGACCTCTTTTTTAGATCTACAGGCTCAACGATGAATGTTCTACTGCCCGTCCCTTCTCTTAAGAAGATGAAAGTGAGCTACCCTAGCACCACCCTGTGGGGGACTTGAATCTATATATCATGTCAAGAAGACTCTGAAAGAGTTTCATATATTCCTTTATAAAGATATGTTCCATTGGAGTGCTCTCCTATGTTGGCAAAGAGTGATGGAGGGCCTGGCCTGAACCCTGTTGCTGGATTCGAATTCCAGTTCTGTTTGCTGACTAGCTGTGTGGTTTGGGTCACAACACCTAACATCTCTCAGTCTGTTTCCTCATCTGTAAAATGAGGAGAGTAATAGTCCCCACATCACAGAGGTGTTATGAGGACTAGAAGGTAGCTGGTATATACTTAGTACTCAGTAAATGGTTAATAATATTATCACAGTGTACCTTATATTATAATTATTTGACTCTGTTTTTTCTGTAGTTTACACTTTTTCAAAGCAGGCATGTGTCTTACTTATTTTTGTGTCCTTCTTACCCATCAAAGTGAGTGACAAATAGTAATTCAGTAAATCTTTAGTATATGTTTAATGTTGGATGAAATAATCTGTTTTATTTTACTGTCTATAAATTCTTTTTCTTTTTTTTTTTTAAATGGAAGCTCTATGTCGAATGTGGAGCTTGAACTCACGACCTTGAGATCTATCAAGAGTCACATGCTCTGCCAACTGAGCCAGCCAGGCACCCTGATTGTCTAATAAATCTTGATTAGGTTAGAAGGATGGCTGTTGAAAAAAAAAACATTTTGGGACTGAGATCATATTTATCTACCTAGAGTAATAACATTTTACAAAAATCTATTGCATGTATATGGAAAGAAAGCCACCAAAATGTTAACAATAATAGAATTATCTGTTTTCCAGGTTTTCAGCACTTGACATGTATAACTCTTATTTTAAAGATTGATTGATGGATTGATTTTTAGAGACAGAGTAGGGAGAGGGGTAGAGGGAGAGAATCTTCAAGCAGACTCCCTACTGAACGCGGAGCCAGACTCCGGGTTTAATATCACAACCAATGAGATCAAGATCTGAACTGAAACCAAGAGTTGGATGCTTAACCAAGGGACCCCAAGTTGTATAACTTTTATAGTTAGGAAAAGAGTTAATGTTTTTTTAAAAGCCTACTTGGAGAGAGAGCAAAGATTACAGTAGAAAAAAAAAAAAGAAATGAGATATATATTAGTAAGTATGGTTTCCCAATAATTTTATTGTTCATTATGCCTTCCAAAAAACATAGTGACCTAATAAAATTGAGTTTGAAAGTTCTCGATAAATTAATATATTCTGATAAATCTATAAGAAGGAATGGAGGCATAATCTTTGGTCTATAAAGTACATATCCAATGATCATCTGAGCAAGAAACACCATCTTTCATAAAGTAAACAAATGCAGCTATTTCTATCATGCTGACTATAAGAAGATTATCATACTTAGAATGGAAATTCCAGGAACCTGAATTCTAATTAACATGGAAATGAAATCCACAAAATAAATATGTATCCAAAGTTTATGCAGTCCCAGGGTACAATGAAGACAGATGCAGATTGATCTAATCTGGTTGCATTAGGAGCATGAGTGTATGTTGGGGAACATCGCGTGGAAAGTTGACATTCAATCCAATTAGGAAGGGCAAAGTAAAAATGATGAAAGCAATTTCCTTTGTCCAATTAAATTAGGCATCCAAATAACAGGCTGCTCTTTGACCTTCCTGGGAAGGGTCAGGATGGCTTCTAACGGTCATTAAGTAAATAGCCAGCCTACTTGTACAGTTGCTTACAAGTGGGACTTAGGAAAATATATTTAGATTAAGAATCTGCAAGAATTTCTCTAATGTATTCTTATTGTTTCTGTTTATCAATTTTTTAATTTGGAGAAACAGAAGGACTGGTAAGAGCATCAGACCAAACTGAATATGGGGTCTATTAAACAAAATTAAGAGGTCACTTTCTGCTTCTTGCTAATTTGTGTTGCAGATGCTAAAGAAAGGAAGTTAAGATATAGCTCGTTTTGGTGCTTCTCCAAGGTCCCACTTGAAATAGCTGAGGAACATTGTTGGCATTTATAAAGATACATGATTTCTTAAATAAACTGGTGGCTTACAAAACTAAAGTTTAAGGACCTTCTTGATTCTGCCCTGGGTTATAATTCCCAACTACTATTACATACAACAATGGACATGCTGTTATTCCATCCAATAATAGCCCACATTGCAAGTGCATGGAAGCTGAATGAAATCTCTTTTTTTGCTCATTAAATTCCAAGTTTCCATGATAAAAGTAGATTATAAACAATGAATTAATAGGACAGATCTTAAGGCTACTTTCCCCTAATTCACATGTTACTTTTGCTCCCAACTTCTCATTCAGATTCAACAAACATTTGTTAAGCATTTATGTACTGAGTTCCATGTTGAAGAGTTCATGAAATCTGCCATTACTTGGCCTTATAGTTAAAAGAGGTCTGAAGATGTACCTTGAATTAGGTGTTTTGACTCATAATCATGAATCCCTCAAAATATCAGAAGATTATTATCCTGGTGTGTAATTTAAGTAACACATAAAATATCTGTAATCCAGTTTTACTATTATTATCATTATTATTATAAAATAATGTGTAGACATACAGGACTTTAAAAATTAAAAAAAAAACAGAATGATAAAAATGAGAAATAAAATTTTCCCTTCCCTCTCCTTCTCTACTTTCCATTATGTTACATTATAAAAATAACCATAATACTGCATAGTTCTTCCAAACAAGAGATAAGGTCCCCTTAAGTATGGAATGGCCTGGAGACTCAGCTGATGAAAGAAATGTAAGAAGACACAAATAAATGAAAAGGTATCCCATGATCATGGATTGGAAGAATTAGTATTGTTAAAATGTTGGCACTACCAAAAGCTGTCTATAGATTCAAGGCAGTCCTGATGAAGATTCCAATGGAACTCTTTTTATAGAAATAGGAAAAATGCTCCTAAATTTATATGGAATCACAGAAGACCTCAAATAGCTAAAGAATTCCTGACAAAGAACAAAGCAGAAGACATTACACTTCTTGATTTCAAGCTATAATATAAAGCTGCAGTAATTAAAATAGTATGGTACTGGCATAAAAACAGACAAATAGACTGATGGGACAGAATTGAGAGCTCAAAAATAAACCCAGCATATACAGCTAATTAATATTTGACAAGAGAGCAAAAAATACCGAATGAAGAAAAGAGAGTCTCTTTAATAAATGGTGCAGGGGGGGGCTCCTGGGTGGCTCAGTGGGTTAAAGCCTCTGCCTTCGTCTCAGGTCATGATCCCAGTGTCCTGGGATCAAGCCCCACATCAGGTTCTTGGCTCAGCAGGAAGCCCGCTTCTCCCTCTCTCTCTCTGCCTGCCTCTCTGCCTACTTGTGATCTCTGTCTGTCAAATAAATAAATAAAATATTTTAAAAAATAAATAAATAAAATAAATGGTGCAGGGGAAACTAGATACTCACATGTAACAGAATGAAACCAGACTCCTATTTACACTGCTCACAAACATCAGTTAAAGACCTTGAAACTCCTAGAAGAAAACAGGAGGGAAACTCCTTGACATGGGTCTTGGTAGTGATTTTTTGGAAGTCACACCTAAAGCAAAGCAACAAAATAAAAAATGAACAGTTGAGACTGCATCAAACTAAAATCTTCTAAATACTTCTGCACAGCAGAAGAAACTATCAACAAAGTGAAAAAATAACTTACCTAATGGGAAAAATATTTGTAAACCACCTATCTGATAAGGGGATGATACCAAAACACATAAAGAAATCCTACAACTCGATATCAAAAAATACAAATAATCCAACTAAAAAATGGTCAAAAGACCTGACTAGATGTTTTTCCAAAGAAAAAGTACAAAAGGCCAACAGGTACCTGAAAAGATACTCAATATCACTAGTCATTAAGGAATGCCAATTAAAGTCACAGGGAGATATTACCTCATGCCTGATAGAATGGCCATCATCAAAAAGACAGGAGATAACAAGTGCTGGCATGGATGTGGAGAAAAGGGAAAACTTGGGTACTGTCAGTGGAATTAGAAATTGGTGCAACTATGAAAAACAGTATGGAAGTTCCTCAAAAGATTAAAAATAGAACACTGTATGATCCAGCAATTCCGCTTCTGGGAATATATCCAAAGGAAATGGAAAACATGAACTTGAAAAGATATCTGCATCCACATGTTCATAGCAGCATTCTTTAGCATAACCAGGACATGGAAATTACCTAAGTGTCCATGTTGCATGAATGGATAAAGAAGACACTGGGGCGCCTGGGTGGCTCAGTGGGTTAAAGCCTCTGCCTTCGACTCAGGTCAAGATCCCAGGGTCCTGGGATCGAGCCCCGCATCGGGCTCTCTGCTCCACGGGGAGCCTGTTTCCTCCTCTCTCTCTGCCTACTTGTGATCTCTGTCAAATAAATAAATAAAATATTTTAAAAAAAAAAGGATGCAGTGTGGGTGTGGGTTTGAGTATGTGCATGAGTGTGTGTGTATACACAATGGAATATTATTCAGCCCTAAAAAACCCAAGGAAACCTTATCATCTGATGGACCTTGAAGAAATTATGCTAAGTGGAATAAGTCAGACAGAGAAAGACAAATACTCTATGATCTCAATTACATGAAGACTCTAATAAAAAAAATTTTTTTAAACCAAATTCATAGGAAAAGAAATCTGGAAAAAGACTGTGTTTACCTGAGATGGAGAGGGCATGTGGAATTGGTGGTCAAAGAGTTCAAACTTCCAGTAAGTAGATAAATAAGTCCTAGGGATGGAATGTACAACATGAGAGCTATAGCTCCACTGCTATATGATATATAGGAAGATTGTTAAAAGAGTAGATTCTAAGAATTCTCATCATAGGAATTTGTTTTTATTTTTATTGTGTCTATAAGAGAAGATGGATGTTAACTAAACCTATTGTGATCATCATTTCACGATATATATAAATTAAACCATCATGCTATAGACCTTAAACTTACACAGTGGTGTATACCAATTATTTGTCAATAAAACTGGGGAGGAAAAGCAGCCTTTGCAACTTTCTATATTTTGTCCTTGGAACAATGCAGTTACCAGGTGGTGGGGGCGGTGGGGAAGATTGCCTGCTGGAAGAAGAGAAGCCATGTAAAGTGGAGATGAGCCATTTCAAATAAGGAGCCCCAACCAGCCAATCTCCAGGCAAACTGACCTGAACTACCTAGATGAACCCAGTCCAAATTGCCAAATGGCAGAGTTGTGAAATTGTAAAAAATGATTACTATTTTAAGCCGCTAAGTGGTAATTTGTTAAGTAGCAAACATGAAATGGTAGACGTGACCATTTGAACACTTTCTGGTGTCTGCAGGCTGGAAGGGCACAGGAATATCTAAAATCCCATGGAACAATGAAATGCTAATGGGAAGAAGTAGAAGTGGTTGCCTAAAAGGACTGTGACTGTGGGGGTAGGTAGTATTGTATCACCATCGTGAAGGAGATATCAGGGAAATTCGGGAGAGCAGAGTCAGAACAAAGGAAGGAAGGGGCTTTAATCTTGTACAAATATATAAATTCAAGCCTGTGTCCTTAAGTACTTACTTGTAGGGCACAGTGACTACCCACCCACGTGTTGGCTATCCGTGTAAGCAGATGCTTGGTGTTCCACCTTCCCTGCCTGATGGTGATGCTCTGTGGACAGGTCTATGGCTTGGGAATAGGCAGAGAGAAGTCTCATGAAGGCATGATGGTGTTTGTAGATTGACTCTGCTCCCAGCATTAAAAAAAAAAGAGGTGTTGTCAACATCTTGGGGGTGGTAAGAGCAGCCTGGGGCCAGTCTCCACAGGTACCCTGGTGACCGAGGTCGGCTGCCTCGGCCGAGAAAATCCACACTCACCATTTCCCAGTAGAGAGAATGACGACAGAGATGGCTCTACCAGCAAGAAGATGCAGATCCAGGCTAGTCCACACTTGATCTGTCACAGCGTCGGATCTGGAAATGGGCAAGGGGAGAACAAGCTGTATTGAGTATTTGATAGAAACCTATAGCAATATTTTCAATGGGGGCATCAGGTGAGGAAAAAGACAGTGAGGGAAGTGATCAGAGGTTAAACTCAAAAGACAGGCCTTTAGGACCACAGTATTAGCTCAAGTAGAAGAAAAACTCTCTGTGAGTAGTGAGATTTATAAGGCTACAAACAATGCCACTCTTATAAGCAGCACTGTATATGTACATTGATTTTCTCTTTCTCTGTCTGAAAGTTTTGGAGATCTTCTCTCCATTCCTGGGGTTTTGAAATTTCATAGTATTGTAGCTTTATGGTGGACATATTTTTTATTAATTGAGCTGAACAATCAGTCCAACCTTTCAATCTGGAGACATATCCTTTATTTGGGGAAATTTCCTTCTGTTTCTTTGATGAGTTTTCCCCATTATTTTCTCTGTTTTCTCTCTCTCTCTCTCTCTCTCTCTGTCCCTCTGGAACTGTCTTTTCTTCTTCTTCCAGTCTCCACATTCAATTTCTACCAGTTATGTCAGCAACTTAAAATTGTCAATGTTTAGATTAAAAACCATTCTGTTCTTTAAACATACTTTGTCTATAAGTTGACTTGACTCTGAAAACAGAACACAACACTCACAATACATGAATATGTGAACTATATTCATGGAATAATCAAGTAATATGATTTGAATCATCTTAAAAGAGGAAATAGAATTCCTATGTAAGTACATGCCTACAACTTCAAGGAGAAAGCAAAGGGTCTACTTTTCTTACAGTCTGTGAGCTGCTCAGAATCAGACCACACTTCAGTTGGATTCATACTTGAACCAATACTTTCTTAGAAACTTTGTTTTTTTTAGAGTTCCTACATTTGGGGTTTCCTGGGGGGGTGGGGTGGAGGAAGTTCCTATGCTTCTATGCTTCTAGAAAATGGGAATTAAACTATTAGTGATTTTTTTAAGTCCTGAGAATTATTAACCTTAAAAAATTTTGAAGAATTTGCCCTATTTGCCTGCCAAGCTTCTCCTTGCAGTTAGATGACTATTTGGGTAGAAATTTGACATTATAACCTCAACCTAATGCCCAAATCTGTATGTAACTCTGGGAAATATATACTGTCAAGTTCAGATCTCCTTTCAAGTTCAGGAAGAGTGCTGTGAGGCAGGATGTCTTTCAGAATCAATCTCTTTTTTAATATGAAGCACACAAAGTATTGAAAATATAAAAATGACAGGGCCAGGACAAGCTACAAGAATGTATTTTTCTGAGAGTATATCTCTTATACATATATTGTAAAAATCACCCTAAGACATTGCCAGTAACTTGTTGATGTCAACTCAACTGTTACTAATCCTTAGAGAAGTCAAACCAGAAGGCTTTAAGGAACATTTCAACTGTGATTGTGATTAAGGAGGAGGGGGGAACCTCTCCTTAGTTAACTTGCACTGTCCCTGTCCTTTTAACAGTGAATATTAATTAATATAATACATATTAATACATTTTATTATATAATCTTACTATATTATGGTGTTATTTTATACTTACTATGTTAACAAACAATATATTCGCTTAAGGCCAGAAGAGTCAGTCTGCTTTGCCTGGGGCTTGAGATTGCCTTCTCCTCTGCTTCCTTCTGTTAGTGATTGTGGCATCAGATCCTCTTCCTGGCATGCGCTACATTATGTAACCCTGTTCATCGTCATGTCACCCCAGAGTCTCCCACAGTTATTCGTATTGATTCTTCCTCCCATCTTCTCTCTCTGCTAAGATTCTTAGACCCTGAAGTCTGCCTTAATTCATCTCCCTCAAAAACTTCTCAGATCTGGTAATATTGAATGTCAGCTTTCCTCTTGAATAAATGAATGTTTTCTAAGCAGTCCATATTCTCCTGATTTAAATCCCAGAATATCAGAGTCAGAAGGGACCTCAGAGTCAGCTAAACTCGTGGTTCCAGCTTGTGGCATTTGGACTTCCAGAGATTCTGGAGTTATTAAAAGTCTTGGAACAAATATATAATTATAGGGCTTTTTTTTTCTTTCCCTGGGCAACAAAATTGACACCATTATTATGCAGTAACCATAACTTTTTGAAATTAAGAAAAGTTTTCATACTCTAAAAAATGTGAAAACCACTGATTAACACCAGCCCCCTCATTTAAAAAAAAAAAAAAAAAAGATGCCCAGAAAATGATTCGATTTGGCCAAGATCACAGAGTAAATTAGGATTATATTGGGACCTTGTCATAATCTTTGGATTCCCAACCATCAATTCATTGTTCTTTCCAGTAGTCCAATCCCCCAAATACTGTAAGCTTCTCAATTGCATAGCAGCTCCCACACTGTAAGAAAGAAGAAAGGGTCCCCATCTGGCTCAGGCTGAATTGTAAGAAAACAACTTCTCCCTCCACAGCAAATACGAACCTTTATTGAAAAGTATTGCCCCAAAATATAACAAATAATATAACAAATAAATCCTTATAGAACACACTATTTAAGTATTTTAAAACAATTGCCTCATCTTTATTCAAGATAATCTAATCTTGTGCACTGCTCCTGCCATGGGTGAAAGAGAAGCCCTGGATCCCAGAGAGTCGCTGATTTAATCCTATCTAGGCTTTCCAGAAGCTTAGGGCATGGCTCTAAAAGAGCATGTTGGGGCCCAATTTCTTCCTCAGAGATTTGGAATTAGAACTCTGAGATACAGAGTCAGCTGGAGGAGGCTGCTGGGCAGGAAGACAATGATGAAATGTTGGGCCTGGTGGCCATTTTGAGCCACAAGTCCATAATGAAAGAGTAAGAGAGGGAGAGGGAGAGAGAATGGGAGAGAGAACGAGCGCAAATGTGTACATGAGGGACCACATGGCTACATAGAGAGAAGGAAGGAGAGAGAAAGATCTGAATGAGAGCTCTTTGGATTCAACTTTTCTAGCTCCCACTTCCTGTCAGAGTATGTCCAACTTCCCCCAAGATTCCAGAAGCTATCTGGAGGTTAAAATAAGTTCTTTACACTTAGGATGAGTTGAGTAGAATTTGATCTCTGAATCAGTGGCCGGTTCTGGGAGAATAAATTCAGATCTCATGAATAAATACCTCAGAGTCTCGCAGTCTCAGATATGAGGGTTACTCAAGACTGCTTTCTGGGTGAGTCTGCCTCATCAGAAAAATGAAGGACGGGAACTTAAATTTCGACCAACATTGCCCCCAACACACTTCAGTGCTGATGTTGGGTACTGGTTGTGGAATTGAAATCATCTATTACAAGAGTCTCGGGACACAGGAGACCTCCATGATATATGATGCCTCAGAGACCTCAGGTTAACCCCAACTATATCTGAATTCTGTTCCTGTTCAGAAGGAGCTTCTCCGACGTACTCGAGAATAGGAAAGAAGGTTCTATACAATCATTCTGACATCCTTCATTTCAGTAAAGAAAAAAATTTAAATTGATTTTGAGATTTCTGTTCTATAAGGCACTTGATGTGAAACATTAGTTATAAGGTGATTTAGAAAAAGAAAAAAGCATATTGTGGTGTTGAAACATATTTCTCTTCTTTTATTCTCAAGGGCAAGAAATAAAAATAATAATAAGCTTCCAGTGGGGTGATAGGAAGAGGTTACCAGCAAAATCCCATGATGGAAATAAAGAAGAAAAGAAAGACAAAGCAAGATTCCAGTTTGAGAAAGATGTGGGGAACAGATACAAAACCAGGAAGGAAAGCAAGAGACTGTTAGTGATCACCAAGATCCTTAAAAGATGCAAGAGTTCTTACTAATTCATCTAGGTGAGCAGAGGTAATAGACAAAAAACACAAGGGATGGACGGCATGAAGCCATGACTGGTAATCTCAGGGGTAACACATAGTTAAATTCTACCTTTGGCTTAAAAAATTGGAAAAAGAAATTTGAGGAAATAAAGAAGAGAAATTGTGTAAAATGAGCTGTTGATGGGGAGAAAAAGCAAGTACATGAGAAACACGGAAATATCTACAGAGGCACTCCTCTGTAACATACATTCCAAATTGTTAAGAGATTAGTTAATGGATTTAAAGAAATCCTGATGGTTACATTCAGGGAATCATTTGAACGTCGTATTTCAGAAAACTGTTAGAGTATGTACATTTCTTCAAGATATTAGAGGGAAAACTAGGGAAAAATGAGCACCTGGGGACCTAATTTTCTTCTTTTCCCTTTCCTTTCCAAGAAAGGCCTCCCCAGAGGGCATTATGCTACGTGAAATAAGCCTCAGAAGCATTTTTATGATGACTGCTTTAGAATTTTTGTCAGATAATCCTAATATCTCTATCATCTTGGTGTTGGTATCTATTGCTTGTCTTTTTTCGTTTAGTCTGAGCTCTTCCTTGCCTTTGGTATAATGAGCAATTTCTTTTTCTTGGATATTTGGAGTATTACACGTTATGAGACTCCAGATCTTATTTAAACCTTCATAATGTCTGGCTTCCTCTGACACTACTTGGGCAGGGGAAGAGGAGGGGAGAACCTCATTACCGCCTGCTGAGGGTAGAAGTTCAGGTTTTCCACTTGGCCTTTGTTGATGCCCGAGCTGGGGGCTATCTCTTCACAGCTGGGTAAGGGTGGGGTTTGACTCCCTACTAGGCCTCCACGGATACCTCCCCAGCTGGGCAGCATAGGGGTGCCTCATCACAGCTCCTCACATGGTCTCCACTGACATCATGGTGGGAATGTTGGGGGCCCTCACTACCGCTGCACAGTGGTGAGAGTCCTGATTCTGCATTAGGCCTCCTCTGACACCATCCCAGTGGGGATGGGGAGGGGCACCTCAGCACTGCCAGACCGAGATGGAAGTCCAAGGTCCCCAGCTGATCGCCATTGACACTGCTACATGGAGGGAGGCTCATTACCCCTGGGGGATGAAAGTCTTGGCAGAGAGTTTGTGCTCCTTGTTCAAACTTCACAAGGGGAGAAGTCCAGGCTCCCCACTCAGCCTTACTACCATGGGTAAAAGCGGGCTCAGATTTCTCTGAGGCGTCTGGCTGAAGTAGAGCAGTCATTGTCTAAAACGTTTCTGTCTTGCTAGGCTGCTCCTTTGGCTCAAAAGAGCAGGCTTCCCTTGG